CTCGTCATTCAACAGGACTTTTTGACCATGTTGTTTCTTATCTGACAAGCTTCGTGTCTGAAATACGTGAATCTGTCTTTCTGTAGCAACTGACTGAAGTCCAGAGCCCCTCTGTCTGTCTTGCAAAGATCCACATCCTGTCTTTCCAACATTTAGACATTTTCTCAACAAAACTTCAGTTGTAGTGTAGTATTCATTAAGATAGATCCAGGTGGGCAGCCGTGCTGGTCTGAAGCAGCAGAACACATTTAGGGTCCAGTGGGGCACCTTTAAGGCCAACAAGGGCTTATTCAAGGTGTGAGCTCTCGTGTGCAAGGCACACTTTATCAGATACATTTGAATTTTTTTTCATATACTTTTTCAAATACAATTTTTTCACACACAAAAGCCCATACCTTGAATATACTATTTATTGTTTATTATTAGATTATAACAGGATTTATATCCCACTTTTTAGCCCAGTCAGGCCACCAAGTTAGCTAGTTGCTAAAATCACCGCAGTATAAAAACACACCCTAAAACAGGCTTAAAACCAAATCTGAAGTCCAGAGAAACGTCAGTTAGAACATGGGACAGGAAGGAGGAACCATTGAGGGAATGTCAGGCAGGCAAAACAAAATGAGTCTTCATTTAATTAGTTTAATTTAGTTGTGTAATCCACCCTGGGTCTTGGTGAGAAAGGCAGACTATAAATAACATAAGTAAATTAGTGTGGTGAAATTTATATTAATCCACAGCCACGTCATGCCGATGCTACCTTGCAATGGGCCATCTTTGCCTCCTGGTAGAGACAGCCCTGTGCTCAGTTCTTAACTCAGCCAGGTTTTTTTAGAACTGGGGTTTGGAAAGGGCAGAAAGATCTGTTTATCTCCAGGTATGTGAGAATAAGAGCTGCATCAGTGCTTAGTTCTCATGGCCCTTTCTTACACGCACAGGGAAATGCTGATCGTCACTTTGCGGTCAGGAAGCAATTTTAGCCAGGGATTCTGGAGGGGTCTTTTTTGGCCATCTTCTAGGCATGGAGCAGGGGTCACTGTGGGTGTGTGGGGGGGAAGTAGTTGTGAATTTCCTGCATTGTGCAGGTGGTTGGACTAGATGACCCTGGAGATCCCTTCCAAATCTGTGATTCTTTTTCTCTTTCGTCCTGTAAACATACTTTTTGTCTCTTCCCTTCAGGTAACAGAATGAAATTTCTCCACAAGAAGTAAGACAGAAGAGTGCCACTGTGGTGAGGAGAAGGAATGTCTACAGTTCAGTGGACACAAAAATAGACCACTTTTTCCTTAAAACCCATTCCCACTTAGTCCTCTCCAGTGGAGGGGAAACCCCAGCACAGGAGCCAGAATGTCCTGGAGTCTTGTGCTTGTGTGAAAAGCTGGCCTGTGGGATAAGCCAGCATAAGGGTCACGGATGCTGCCGGGGCAGGTCTACGGACGTCTTCAGAGGTCATGCACTGGACAAAGCTCTCTCGGAACACTCCATTGGCGCTTTGCAGACTTCACAGTGGTTGTACTTCGTAGCTGTTAAACTTCTTGTTTCTCTTATTTATGTTGGGGTTAGGAAAACTATTAGCCAATGACATTTGCCCACGCTCCTGTCCCAAGTGGCAGTGGGAGCAAACAGGACAGTGGCTGCATTAACTTGGGTTCTGAAAAGAGGGAGGAGGGGAAGAGGACACGATGAGGACACGTGGGGCACGTGGAGATGGGCTTGAGGTCATAAACGGGGCAGGGGGGGAGGCTGTGGTGAGGAGGGGAGAGAGAGCCACTGGCTACCCAGCCCAGCAACCACGGCGTGATGGAAGGTTGCTTCCCCTCCTCAGCCGGAGGGGGGGGGGATGATGGGGCACAAGTTCTCTTCACCCTTCCTTGGATTAAGCTGAGTGCATGATGTGATGGAATTAAAGGTGACTGATGTTTAAAACAAACAAAGGATACGGTTCTTTTCATACTCTGACAGTCAGTGACTTGTGTGGTTAAGCTGAGTTGACTTTTACTCGTTAAAGGCCCCTGACCTTTCTGCATTGGGGGGGGGACTGAATGGGCAGCGGGGTGCAATGGTGATACGTACCTCTTACATGGATCTCGGCCTCCTGGTTTCTATTGACACATTCGGAGAGGGACAGAGATACAGGAGAAGGGTCAGCAGCCACTAGGCTGCGCACCAGGTGGGTGCAGAAGACTGTTCTGCTCGATAAAACGGGCTCGTTCTGTGGTCCCATGGGACCAAGGGGCTGGGGACTCAGCTGGCAGGAGTAAGCTGTGAAGCTGCCTTGTACTGTAGCAGGACATTGGTCCATCAAGGTCAGTATTGTCGACTCAGACTGGCAAGCAGCTCTCCAGAGGCTCAGGCACTGATATTTCAGATCGTCCTATTACCTGACCCTTTTAACAGGAGATGCTAGGGATTGAACCCGGGACCCTCTGCATGCCAGCCAGATGCCCTCCCAGTGAGGGCCTGTCCCTCAGCATGCCCGGCCAAAATACAGCCTTTATCTTACAGGGTGGTGGAAAGTACCATTAAGCCGCAGCCGACTTATGGCGACCCCTGTGGGGTTTTCAAGACAAGAGACGTTCAGAGGGGGCTTTGTCATTGCCTGCCTCTGGTTAGCAACCCTGGGCTTCTTTGGAGGGTCTCCCATCCAAATACTGGCCAGGGCCGACCCTGCTTAGCTTCTGAGATCTGATGAGATCAAGCTAGCCTGGGCCATCTTACATATATGCCCCTCTTTTGTTTGTCAACATAACAGCATCTTTACAGTTAGGCGGGGGTGGGTGGGGGTGTTGATACTTGTCTCAGAAAGGTTGCCCGTCGTTGATGTTTGATGTTTGGTATTGTTATGGACCTGCGGATCACTTTGGTGATTAGAGCTGGCAGGCTCAAAAAGCCTCGATTTCTTTGCCCAGCTGAATATTAGGTGTGTGGCTGAGGGCTAAATCCGTGGTAGGGCTCAATCCGTGGTACTCATCACTTGCTGATTCAAGGGTGGACACATATGCAGGATTCCAGCCCAGGCACACGGTTACTTCCTCCACATGCCCGGCCTTAAGTTCCCGGATCCATCCTGCTGGGCATGAAAGTGTCACCATAAGAACTCATAATCAGTCTTGGCTACTTGTTCTACTGCTTTAGCAACGATCTTTGCCCCAAAAGGCTCACGCAGCAGCAGCAGCTGTAGGGTGTACTTGCAGGGGTGAAAAGGCAGGTGCCCGGGGCTGTTTCTTCTAGGCCAAACTGGGGTGCGGGTGGGGAGGTGAGTGCAAAGACACTGTTAGGGCCGGACCTTGGGGCAGAAGAACCTGTGGAACGTTATTTCTGTGTCTCCAGCAAAGGCCTGTTTGAAAGCTGCCGCTTCAGTCACAGGAGGTTCCTTCTAAGGCTTTGTGCCCCCATGTTGTGGACCCCACTCACTATTCACAAAGGTGCATCGCAAACTTGGGCACCCCTGTTTTAAATGCATGTGGGGTGGGGGAGTGTAGTTTGATCCTTAGAGTGGTCTAGGAATGCTGTTGTGTCCCTCCCCCGCACACAATGCCATTGCAAGACTAAAAAATGTTATTTTATTACTCTAAGGTAATGCTTGAAACGGTGTCCTTTCAAACAGAAACATGTGAGGGGCCCGAACTATCAAATGGGATCTTCTTCACTGCTCCACAGCTCCAATCAGTCCAAACTGCAGGCTGAGTTCCTTAACCCTGTTCAGGCTACCATTTTCTTGAAGTACTGTAGCTGCTCATCTTGTGCCTGTGTTTCTGGGTGAGACCATAAGTGGGCAGGGAGTACCCCAGCAGGAACATCTGGAAGGTGTTCATGCACCGCCTGGTCTTGGCTGATCTCGGAGGCTAAGCGGGGCCAGCCCTTGTTAGGACCTGGATGGGAGACCCCCAAGGAGGTCCAGGGTTGCTACGTGGAGGCAGGCCATGGCAAACCACCTCTGGACGTCTCCCGCCTTGGAAACCCTACGGGGTTGGCCATCAGTCAGCTGTGACTTGATGGCAGTTTCTACCCCCAAACATTTTGGCAGTGTGTTTTGTGTGTGTGTGTTGCAAGCCTTCAGTTTTCAAGCACAGCCACAACCTACTCCTTTGAAGGTAAGGCATATTACCGTCTCTGAAGTGTGTGGAATGTGTTAAAGCTGGAGGCCAGCATTGCCTGCCTGCACCACCAGCACACACACCACGGCCTAAACGTCCAGTAAAGTGCAGGAAAGACTAATATAGACCAGAAAAATTGAGACTATTGGAAGATGGGGTTGCTTTTCCCAGTATGTTTTTAAGGCCTCTGCCATTGTCTCAAAATTTTCGGTGCAAGATCCCATTCTTGTTGCCCGTCCCCTCTCCACTCCCATTCTTGTACTCATCCCCGGGTCAGGGTCCTTCCAAGGAGACTCCTTACGTGTGAATTCCAAAGTACGAAATGGAATCCTCTCTCTTCCTTCACAGCTCAAACTGTAGCTGGAATTGACCCTAAGTGCTGGCAAGGGAAGCAGGGCTTAGGCGGCGGCGGCAGCAGCAGGGCAATTCCTGTATGTGTTTGTTTGCTTAAAGTCGATTCCTCGGGACCATTTTAAATGCCTGCTCAGCCTCACATGCCTCTTTTTCCCTCAACTTGTTCATGAGTTTAGGACAATCTAGCAAGGACAGGTGGGGTGAACTGTTGCCCTTATTCCTGGGATTTAGAACTGTGGCTATAGAACTCTGGGTGGCCTTACTCCAGAGCAGAAAGGGGACCACTGTATAGCAGCAGACATGGATGAGCCCAGCAAATGGAAAGATGGGGCCTTGCTGAATGCCTCCTGTCACGTCAGGCATCTTAAATCAAGCAACCAAGGTAAAAAATTACTATCTGTTTATTCCAGTGGAACAACATGAGACCGTAGCTTCAGGGGCCCAGCTCATTAAGCAGTGTATTTGGGTTCCCATTAACTTTTTATTTTTGAAAACAATGCACTGTTGCAAGCTTCGGAAGACTGACTTCTGATGGAATGTGTTTTGCTGGATCTAAAAGATGGAGAGGATCCTTGGGACCTTCATCTGTTCTGGATACTCTGTGGGAAACCACCTAAAGCACAGAGAGAGAGAGAGAGAGAGAGAAACAAACACACTTGGCATGAAGGGAAGGACATTGCTGGCTGGAATGCCACACTCAAACTCAGTTGCATTCTTCCAGTTTGGCAGGGTACCTAAAGACTACCTGGGGAGCTTCACAAACAAATCTGAGAGGAGATTCTACACTCATTTCCACTATGGCACTGGGACAGTAATAGGGTATCTTAGTAATGACTAACATTTTATGATGATCCCCAAGTTATTAACCTGCTTCCTTACTTGACTGTATAGCTAACAATCTATGGTTTGGCTCCAAACAGCTTTGTCACTGGTGAAAAAGGAGGGGGGGTCCCCTCTGCCCACCAAAAAAAGCTATGCTGGGAGTTACGAGAACAGCATGTACGAAGGTCATGTACAGATGGTGGCTGAAGAAAAGAGGCAGGTTCAGTGAGATTCAGGGAAAGCCCGATGGGTCCAGCCCAGTATTTGGGAAATAACGTCCAATAGAAGGGAATGTGAAGACTAGAGATTCCTTAATGTGTTGAATCCTCACATCCATGGCACTATTTTGTGCTTGCAGTGCCCCCTGCTGCCGATATATTGGAAATACTATGCAGCATTTGATTTAACAATATTTGGTATGGGTGGCCTGCTTCTGATGGAGGAATTTAAACCTGAACTGGGCCGTCTCCTGTGACAGAATGCTGACATGGCCGAGTGGTCCGCCATACTGAAAAGCTCCCTGCATGTGGAAAACTAATATACCAGGGAGAAGGCTAGGGTATGCTGACATCTAGCTCCTATGTGGGGTTTTTTTAAGATGGAGAAAAATATGAGGCCGTGCCTGCCACAGGCTGAGGAGACATGGCCCAAACTCACGGCATATAGCTTGGCCCTAAAAGTGTATGTGGGTGGGTGGGAGTAATTCTGAAGGTCAACCTCCCTTCCCCCTCCCACCCATTCAAATACTTTTAAAAAACTGGACTGCTTTAAACCCCAGTAAGAAAGAAACAGCCTGAATAGCTCAGACTAGCCCAAATTTGTCTGAGCTCAAAAGCGAAGCAGAGTCAGCCATAGTTAGTATTTGGATGGGAGACCTGTCACCAAGGAAGTGCAACACTGCTATGCAGAGGAAGGCTATGGCGTCCCACCTCTGCTCATCTGTTGCCTTGGGAAAACCCGTGAGGGGTTGCCACAGGGTTGCCAGTCTCCAGCTGGTGGCTGGAGATCTCCTGGGATTACAACTGCTCTCCAGGTGATAGAGATCAGTCCCCCTGGAGAAAATGGCCACTTTGGAAGATGGACTCTACAGCACTATACCCCACTGAAGTCCCTCCCCTCCCAAAACCCCACCCTCTTCAGGCTCCACCCCCAAAATCTCCAGGCCTTTCCCAACCCAGAGCTGGCAACCTGAGGTTGCTGTAAGCCAGTTGTGACTTGACGGCACATAATTATAAGAAAGACAGTCACCTCAGTTCTGCCTGCCCTTTTTACTTCTTCCTTATAGAGGCCAAAAATATATGTTGAAAGTTCCAGTTATGAAGCTCCAGTGTTTGACACTCTGCCACCCCCAATCACCACTTCAGTCAGCACAGGGAGTTTACTTGCATGCCACACTGAGGCACAGATAGGGCAAGGGTCCCACATTCACCTGTGTAAGCCTGCCCGATGAATTTATGGGGTACCTGTTTTCCGGGAGACTGCTTTTAAGTCACACTTCCCCCTTGGCAGTTTGCAGGTGTAGAGGCCCAAGCAGCCGTCACAGTCCGAGGGTCTTTTGCAGGTCTTCGACTGAATCCCGAAACAGGAATGCTAAGAAGGACAGAGAATCCCTTATAATACCAGCCCCCGTTTTCTAAAATGGCACTGAGTCCAGTGCTTTTCCCCCAGCCCTAGAATTTCTAATTGTCCATGTTCTGCAGAATTTCTGAGACCCAAGACCTTATTTCCTGTTGTAGGTGTTCTTTGTCCTTTAATAACAGTATTTCAAACTGAAGTTTGTCAGGTCCACTTTGTTGGCAATTCCTGAATAAGGCACATATGCTGCACCTGTTGAATATCACGTTAAAAGCACATGGAAGCAATTAGATCTACTGATGGTTCATTTGCTTGGTCTTGCCATAAGACCATGTGGGCTTCTCTCCTGTAGACTGACATACCTTTGTTCTGAGCTGTGACTGGTGGTGCTTGAACATCTGACAGCTCCAATTTGTGCACGAGTGGTGCCAGACTGGTGGATGATTTGGAGTGCAGCTTAGGTGCGTGTGGAGAAGCCTGCCCCCCCCGGGGGGACTGATTTCCCTGGTCTGCAGTGGTCCTTAAAGGTGTGTTATCTAGCCCCATTGGGGGAGCTAATGCAGAAGAAACGGTGCCTACAGGACAGCTCTTCCTACATGCACTCTGTAGTGACGATCAGGCTCAGACACTGTGCTCATGGCAAGAGAAGAGAATGTGCAGCTCTTGTGTGACTGTTACACAAGATGGAGGCCACAGTGTGTGACCTGGCCCCCAAAAGGCTTGTGTAGACATAGCATGCCATTTCCTATGTAGTAGAAAAGAGCCTGAGCATTGAGCAAACTTCAGAGGACGGCGGAAGACAGGAAAGCCTGGCGGGATCTGGTCCATGGGGTCGCGAAGAGTCGGACTCGACTGTGCAACTGAACAACAACAAGAAAAGAGCCAGAGTCCAGTAGCTAACAAAATATGTGGCAGGGTATGATCTTTTATGTGCCACTGCTCACGTCTTCAGATACAGCTAGAATAGGAGCCCATCTATCCTATTTATTGGAAAGTGGCGTGATTACAGACGATATTAGCAGGCAAATGACAATAGCAGGTGTGACTGGATTTAGGTGAGATATGCAGAGGGATAGTAGGCATGGTGAAATCAGCATTGGTGTACATAAACCTGGCAACCCTGGACATCCCATGGTCTCGAGCATAGGCACTATCACTGTCGGAGCATCAGGATCTATGGACTCCGTCCTGAGGCCATACTGTCTCATTACCAATGCCGATGTCTCCACTTCTCTATTACCCCTCTGAATATCTCACCTAAATCCAGTCACGCCTGCTATCGTCATTCACCTGCTAATGTCATTTGCTTGCTAATGTCCTTCAGCATCTGAAGTCATGCCACTTTCCAATAAATAGGACAGATGGACTCCCATGCTAGCTGCATCAGAAGAAGTGAGCAGTGACTCACGGAAGCTCATCCCCGTCAGAAATGTTGTTAGTCTTCAGGGTGCTACTGGACTCTTGCTCTCTCCTGCTCCTACAGACAGACTTAACACGGCTACCCATCTTGATCTGTTTCCTATGTAGAAGTGGTGAGACTTATTTTAGACTGCTGATAACCTAATACAGAGTAATTATTTTTTTTTCCCTTGTTGTTCCTGGGGCACAGTGGCCCTGGATCCTGTCGCAGGTGAGGCAGACCCAGACACTGGTATCTCTTTAGCCAGAAATACTCTTTGCTATTAAATGAATAGAACTCTTTGCTTTTAAATGAATAGAACAAGCTTTTAAATGAATAGAACAAATGAATAGAACAGCATGAATGAACACAGGCATGAGAGCAGGGGGGGGGAATCATCACTGCCATCGTACAATAGTGGGGGTGGGAATACTCAGGCAGACTCTGCAAATTGGAGGACATGAACTTGGTGGTGGTGGGAAGTGCCATTAAGTCACAGCCAACTTGTGGCTCCCCTGTAGGGTTTTCAATCCCTGACCTGGATGGTCCAGGCAAGCCCAATCTTGTGAGATCTCAGAAGCTTCTAATGTCCTGGCCCCACTGGTGGACCTCCTGATGGCACCTGGTATTTCTGGCCACTGTGTGACAGAGTGTTGGACTGGATGGGCCTTTGGCCTGATCCAACATTGGCGTCTCTTATGTTCTTAAGCTAAGCAGAGTCGGCCCTGGCTAGTACTTGGACGGGAGACCACCAAGGAAGTCCAGGGTCATGACACAGAGGCAGGCAATGGCGAAGCACCTCTGAAGGTCTCTTGCCTTGAAAACTCTGTGTGGTCACTGTAAGTCAGCCGTAACTTAACGGCACTTTTCACCCACCAGAGTTTTCAAGATGAGACTTTCAGAGGTGCTTTGCCATTCCCTGCCTCTGCGTAACTACCCTGGCATTCCTTGGAGGTCTCCCATCCAAATACTGACCAGAGCTGACCCTGTTTAGCTTCTGAGATCTGACAAGAGCAGGTTAGCCTGGGCCATCCAGGTCAACATGAAATTACACGTCCCAATTTCATCTGAAAAATCTGCCACACTTTCTTTATCCAGCCCTGCTTCCAAAGAATTCCGGGCAATGTATATGATTTTCACTTCTCTCATTGAGTCTTCAGAACCCTGTAAGGTAGGTCAGGCTATGAGAGTCTGACTGCCCCCAAGGTCACCCAGTAAGCTTCGTGGATGACTGGGGATTTGCACCTGACTTTCCCGGTCTGACACTCTCCCAATTATGCCACCCAGTCTGGGGATACTCTGCTGTTCTCTCTGGGCCTGTTCAAAAGCAGCAAAAGAGTTTTTTAATAGTAAAATTGTTTGGCCTCAGAATCTGACCTAGCTTTCTAATTCTGGGTCAGTTCCTTTACAAGCCATTCGAGGATATCTGGTTAATTGTTTCAGGCTGGGGTGTTTTTAGATATCTGGGACTGAATCTGTAATGAGCCATTATCCTGCAGATCAAAAAAGGGGCATGTCTGGAAACGCAATGAGCTCAGAAAATCCACTTAATCTTTATCACACAGCCTGAGTAATTTGTCCTGGATCTAGGAGGAAATCTGCCTAAGCTGCAGCACTGAGTGTAATAAAAGTTTTGGTAAGAGCTTCCCAAGGATATTTAATAGCATCTTTTTCTTGCACTGCGAGATGCTTTGCCGGTGAAGCTTCAGAACACTGGTGTGAGCTGGGTGGCTTATCAGTCTCATTTTACATACCAGAAATGAGGCTGGAAGATTGTGAACTGGCCACAGGTGTCCAGTGAGGTCCACAAGTGTTGGACCAGATCTCCCAAACTCCAATTCAACAAGCTATGGGCTTAGCCAAACTAGTTCCTGTCACATCCCTAGCCTAGCAGCCTCTGACTTGGCAGCGTTGTTGGTAATCCAGCTGTGGGTCTCCTCTGATCAAGCAGTGCAGTGACTCAAGAAGGTCTTGTTTCATTCTTAAAAACCAAGACACAATCAACCGTACACCAGCCATAAAACACACCAGATTAAAGAGATGTCATAACAGTCAGTATTAAAACGAACCTGAAAACCTCAGCAAAATAAGATACCTAGCAAAGGACAGCATAACTAAAGACCAACTGTAAGGGGTCTACAGCGCTTGTGAGAATAAAAATGTCTTTTGCTGGCACCTAAAAGCATGTGTACTCGATGCCAGGTGAGTCTTTGCAAGGAGGGAGTTCCAAAGCACAGGGGCCACTCCTGAGAAGGCCCTGTCTATGGGAAAGGGGGGGGAACAAAGCAGGCCCTCTGTTGATTACCTTAATAGGTGGGTCAGAATGTATGAGAGAAGGTACGGTGGTCTTAGACCACGTGAGACCCATGCAGCGCTTTCACTAAACTCTCTTGAAGACCCCTGCCAAAGAATGACACAGAGAGGCTTCCAAAATCTCAGTGAAGTGAACTCTGACTCATGAGACCGTATGCTTAAATATGTTGCATCAGTCCATGAAGGTGCCACTGGATGCCTGTTTTATTTTGTAGGCGAGACCTCTTGGTGGTGAAGGGGTGGGAGCAGAAAAGCGTTTACTCACCGTGTCTGTATTAAACTTCCCGTGGCCTTTCAGGTGCTTCTGAAGCCCTTGGCTTCTCCTTTTCGGAGGGGGCAGCTGGGGAGACGGCTTCTTGCTGCCAGCAGCCAACTTATTGGTGGCTGGGCTCACCATTTTGCTCTGGCTTCCGTCCTGAGCTCCAGCGCCGCCTCCTGCCTTCTGCAGCCCCCCGGAGGGCTCTCTTCTCGCACCTCTCCCGCCATCTCCTTCAGGGAAGGAGGCAGGGGTCTTCTTGCCCCTGGCAGATGCAGAGGCAGCGGAGTGCTCTTCGGCAGCCGGCTTTCCCCCAGCCAACTGCCCACTGGCTTCGTCCAGGAAAAGAAATGGCACTGAAAGCACCGTGAGGGTGGCCACTGCAGGAAGCCTCATTCTTGGCCTCCGCCTCCTCTCCCAGTTCTCTGGGCACAGGGATGCTGCTGCCTGGGAGCTTGCTGGGAGGGGGGGGGAAGCAGCCTGTCTCTCCCTCCCTCTCTCTCTCTCTCTGCATGAAGGGTTGAAGCCCTTTTATGTGTTTGAATCCCCAGCTCCCCACCCCGCAACCCTTTGTGATACTGACATCCTAGCTTTCACCAACACTCCTGGCTGCTCCTGCTTGGAAAATTCCGGCCACCCTCCCAGCCAGCAACACCCAGCTTCTTTGTGAAGGTTAAGCCTCTTGTGCTCCCCTCCAAGCGGGACGGTCTGATGCCATCTTTCCCCATCTTTGTGATAATGGAACATTCCCCTCCCCCCCCCCACCCACACACACACTTTTGGCTGAGCAGGTGCTTCAGCGAGTGCAGTTAAAATTCTCACCCGAGACGGAAAGGCGTGTGTGCATGTGAGACAAATAGAGGGCTTCCCTGATCTCAACAGCATCTTTGTTTTAAGGACTGTAGAGCTAGCGTTTGTTCATGTTCCCCTCCCCATCAGTGGCCGGGGGTGGTGGTGGGACACCTGGCAACCCTACGGCACCGTTCTTTCCTCCATGGTCGCCAAATAATTGCTGCTGGGATGGATCTATGGGGTGTAACATTTTTGGGTCCACAAACGGGGCTGGTTCCACACACAAGGACTTTGGCCTATGTGTCCAGCAGTGGTAAGGTTGCCAACCTCCAGGTGGTGACTGGGGATTTCCCATTATTACAACTGATCTCCGGGTAACAGGGATCATTTGACCTGGAGAAAATGGCCGCTTTGGAAGGTGGACTCTGTATGGCATTACACCCCTCTGAAATCCCTCCCCTCACCAAACCCTGCCCTCCCCTATCTCCACCCCTCAAAAAATCTCCAGGTGTTTCTCAACCCAGAGCTGGCAACACTCAATGATGGGAAGCCCATTTGGTGTAGTGGTTAGGAGCGCAGATTCTAATCTGGGAGAACAGGGTTTGATTCCCCACTTCTCCACATGCAGCTGCTGGTGTGACCTTGGGTCAGTCATAAGTTCTCTCCGAGCTGTTCTCTCACAAGCAGTTCTCAAAAGAGCTCTCTCAGCCCCACCTACCTCACAGGGTGCCTGTTGTGGGGAAGGGAAGGGAAAGGAGATTGTAAGCTGCTCTGAGACTCCTTCGGGTAGTGAAGGGCAGGGTATAAACCCAAACTCCTCCTCCTCCTGGCATTGTGCTCCTTACAAGCATGACTTGTGTAGCTCTTGTGAGGGAGAGAAATCTTTGCTTAAGCTCGAAGGGGAAGCTGAGGGATGGCAGCAGATGGAGCGTCCTTGGGGACACTATGCCTGTAGCCAGTCCAGGGAGGGACTGGAACTCAGAGCTACCTTCAAAATGGCATAGCTAACTTCTGCTTTTCTATCCATACACTTCCCATGTAAAACATCTGACCTTGCAGACTAATATACTGAATGTACAACTGAATTATACTAGGCATTTTTAAAATGCATCCCTTGCACTACCTGCTTCAGATCAATCACAGGAGAGGCAAAGAACTACTTTTATTGTGGCTTTAAAAGGAGTCAGAAAGTGCAACAGATTCCTTTCCTGGGTCAAATCAATTTTTTTCTCGGCTTAATAGATGTATGTTTTTAATCATTGTTTGTGAAAACATTCCCTTGAGTGAACATTCATGAAATCCTTCAGGCTCCCCTTTGGGTTTCCACTTCCATGAGCCAGCAATCGCCCAGAGCTTCCCGCATATATCAGGCTGGCTTCAAGCCACAGACTGACTGTGTGAAGCGGTTTGCAGCTGCAAGGTGCCCATTCGAGGTGCCCAATCACCACTCTTGGCTTTATGTATGTCAGTGCCATCAAGTTACAATAGACTTATGGCGATCCCAGCAAGGGGTTTTCAAGACAAGTGTGAAGCAGAGGTGGTTTGACCTTGCCTTCCTTTGCAGAGCCTTTCTTGGTGATCTCTCACCCAAGTACCGACCTTGCTTAGCTTCCGAGGTCTTGATGAGATCGGGCTATATACCAGGCTGCCTTCCTCCCCCCCCCCCCCCCTTCCCCTCACCCC